GCGTTAAAATCGTATACAGAGCGTCATTCACGCTTTAGTCTTCGTTTGTTCGACTGACAGCGAAGCAAGCAAAATTAGACAGTACTGCGATGACATTACAATTTAAATTCAACGTTTTAGCTTTTTCATATTCCTTTACATGTCACTACGTTTAAATAGGTTGACTTGGGACATTTTTTTCGTGGTTTGTGATGATTAGACCCGTCGTCCATTTATTTGTAAGTCAATGAATTTTACATTCAATTTTAATTAAACAATCGTTTATTTGTAATAATCCTATTTAATTTCCTCGCAATCGACGTGAAAAACGGAGTGTATAACTCGTTCACAAAACCCATTTTATCCTAGACTTAAGTATCCACCCTCGCCTCTCGTCCCGGATAAAATGACGCTTTTTATGCACTTGTTGTACAATTTACTATTCTGCCACGTAGTTACGTAGCAGAGAAGACGAACTTTTTATATGATACCAAGTATGAAAACAATGGAAGTGACTTAAGCCTCGGTTACTATCGAACCAATGTCGCGAAAACTCACACATTCTTCATTTGAAACACTACAAAATCTTAACATTGATTGGTCATAGTGTCAATGATTAAGAGGGAGCATGCCAAAAAAGTTTTGACGTTGGCTCCGCCCAAATTTGTGAAACAAATATATGCCTGAAGTTCGCGTGACATGCGACAGGAGATGTTGAATTTTGCGCATTAAAAGTACCAAATTCGTTTTAGCGGAATAACTCTAAAACTAAAGGGATTTAAAAAAATCCGTAGTGACAGTTCTCGATCATGCATAAATATAATTAATTCTCTAATTTTTGTCCTAATAACCTGTAGCATTTATTATGAATCGAAAAAATGTGAAAATTAGAGGTCATTTCGTGATTTGTATCTATCGAGGAAACTTTATTGTTTTATGTTTCTGATTAGTGTCTATGCATGAATATATCGTGTAGTTACTCATACAATATTTTATTTTTAACTTTAAAGTGGATATAGGTACCCCTCTAAAATCAAATCGAAGATTAGGAATTTTTCCTCTGCTTCTTCTTAAGAAGAAATAACAAATTCTGCATTGTTAATATAATTTAAACTTTACTCTGTTGGCATACCGTTGTCAGTTCAATACCACGAATACTTATTATTTTAAATTACGACGTCTTGATATTATATTGAAATTTCAATTAATGTACCGCCATCTAGCGGTTAATTGCTAAACAACGACGAATTAAAGTTATTAATTTAGTTCTCCAAATGACATGAAATACCAACACGGGTTATATTTTTGGTACGGATATCATTTTTGCACTCCAAAACAGCGCAATAAGGCATTTTTCTAGGATTTTAGAGAATTTGCACGAAAGAATGACACAACCATACCATACAAAGCGAAAATGGCGAACCGAGCTCAGATAGGGTTTTCGAGACTTATAGTTGGCACGCGTCAGACGCTAACTAACCACTTCTACTGTATTTATTATTCTGTGGATGGGACGGAGTCGTATACGTGCGGATATGCGACACGCCTGTTGCAGTGGCACTAAGAGCTATAAATCATGAATATCTGGGGGGTATTGCCACTGCGCCCGTCACGCTGAGACATAAGTTGACAAGTCCCATGTGCATGTAACTGCACCAGAACCCTTACCCTTAAAAATCGGAACGCTGACATTACTGCTTGGCGGCAGAAATAGGTAATGTGTCAGTACTTCCCTGGATGAACTCTTTCACAAGGAGTTCTACTGCTACAAATTCATTCTTTCTTCATGACCAAACCATCAAAGCATCTGCATCCTGTGCCTCTACCATGAGATTACAGCATCGAGTATATAACCAGAAATAGAGACGAAATAAATGCCATCCATCCCTTATATCACTTTTAAATATCAACTCTCGTTGTGCTGAAATCACAAACTAGAAAACTGAAATAGTACAGCGCCAACAACTGACCTGTATGTACGTCTCCGTATATTCCAAAAATATTCTGTATTTATTGTAATAAAAATAATATCTCTAAACATGGGGGGGCTGCTCCATTCGGTAGTGTGAGAAAAATAGCCAAACATCTAATTACAAAACAAACGGAATCACATTTCATCGGTATATAATATGTAATTTTTAAATTTTCGTCCATTAAAGCAAAGCTCAAGTTAAACATGTCGATTTGAAGTGAAACAATTGACGACGCCCGTCAATTGTTTCGAATTCGGGCTGGCCAATCGGAGTGCAGTTGTAACCGTAATGATTTAGCAGAAAAGTTTTCAAATTAATTAAATGACACTTCGTCTCTATTTCTGGTTATATACGATGGATTACAGTGACAGTTATCGCTAGCGTGCGCGTAAAATGTTTGTATACAAAATGCTGTTTCTTCTTGTGACCGCTAGAGGTGTTGTATAAATCTGCCATACAAAATTGTGAAGTAATTTACGCGATCGCTAACAGCAACCTTCACGGTAAACTCGTGGTAGAGACGCTGGTCACTACATCATCTTTCAACACTTTTAAGACAAAACAGCTGAAAACGTTACAGGAAGAAGATTATTTCTTACATGAAGATTGCGTGTGTTTATGTGCCTTGCTGCTGTTGCTGAGCTCGCGAGGTTTCTTGGATGCGTCGTCATTCTGCTTCTCTGAAAAAAATATAAATTGGTAAAAATCCACAAATTGGGTATGGGCAGGGCTTGATTTAAAGTTTGGGCGCTTTCAGGCGCACAAGTTGTTTTTATATATTTTATTTAGCATGCACCCCGGTGACCTATCACAAGCTAGAAACACAATTTACAGAATTTTGTTTCTTCGAAATCCTATCTTATTACTATATATAAAAAGCTACAAATCCTGACTCACTTAGAAAAATAGAACGTGTACTTCCCGATGTGGTGGAGAAAAAGATATTTATACCGAAGCATGATGCTGACTTAACTCTAATTATCTTGCGACATATAAAAAGTGAAGATGGATGAGTGTTTTTAAGGTTTTTAAGAGTGCAACTGAGCAGCTGAATGTGTATAGGGTGTATGGTATGTGAATGGGTTTAGGCGAGAGTCTTATGAGTTGAGATCAGATAAGAGGAATGCGGAGTTATTTGAGGATAGGCAATAATTGCTCAGTGTCGTCATAATTTAGGGTCTTAGAGCGGTTACACACAGCGACGTTCAGCAGCGATGCAAACACATTGCAGTACCTAATCGTCTACTTTTAAACACACGCGCGATTGAAGTACCGATGCAAGCGCGCCTGCATCGATACCAACGCGCGATTGCATCACTGCACTTGGGATTTATGAGCGATTGCATCCATGGCAATGCATTGTGCCTATAATTCGCAAGAGTAGCGATGCAATAGCGCGTTTTACGAAAGCGAACGGTCGAAAGTTATTTACCTACTACTACTACGTACAGCAAGCCGCTTTCTGCACACGCGCAAATGTGTTCGAGAATTGGCAGGGTTACCCATCACTTTCACGTATGTGGTCAGAGCGGCAACATAGCGAAAATTCTCACGCGATCTGTTATCTATAATTCTATTAATAGAATCCCAATAATTAAACATGTTTATTAGGTATTTATATCGATATATTGAAGATTTATTTAAAAAATATATTAAAAGCACTTAAAATGTTATATTTTAGACAGGTACTTTTCAATAATTATAATAATTATAATTATAATAAGAAATTGCAAGAAGTTATGGCGTCTCATTATATTGATATCATAAATCGCTGTATTATATATTACTCTGCACTAAAAAACGAAGAAAACAATAACTGAATCTCAGACATAATAATTTTTTACTTTTTCTTTTCATTTTTCGGAAAACGATAGAAACTCCTATTTTTATCCCGTTTAGACGATAACAAACTGCCGTACGCAGCACGATTATTCACGAACATTATAATTAGTAACGTACAAATTTTGTAATAAATAAATGAAAACAAAATCAAATATCAAAGCCGTCTTAACGCGAAAACAGCTCGCCGACCGCCTTATTGCGTTCCGTCTATGTGACCGTCAATGTGCGGGGCGTGGTGCGGTTTCTAAAACTAGGGAGGAGCGGAGAGTGTCCATTCTCATTCGTCGCTTTTGTTCGCTGTCGCTGCTAAAACTCACCGTGTTTAAACCACTCTTAATCCAGTCAGTGATAGACTTTTTACAAATTGATTTAAGAAACTCATTAAGGGATAGTTTTGTAATTAATTTCTTGCACAAATGGGGTGCAATCAAGCAGAAGGTAATGAATGTGCATTGGAATTAGACCCAGCAAGTTCAGAAGCACCTGCATTTAAAACCTAAGATCAAGATGACGGTATAACCAGCAACTACGCGACAGCTTATCGATGTTAATCACGGAAGAAAAAAAACAATGACAGTGTCTTAAACCTCGATTACTATAAGAACCGATGTCGCCAAAACTCACACACTCTTAATTTGAAACACTACAAAATCTTGATATTGATTGGTCGTAGTCATTGACTTACAAATAAATGGACGACGGGTCTAATACAAAAACCACGAAAAAAATGTCCCAAGTCAACCTATTCGAAATTTAAATTGTAATGTCATCGCAGTATCGCGCTGTCAGTCGAACAAATGAAGACTAAAGCGGAGTGTCGCGCTCTGTATACGAATTTAGCGCCTTACAAGTGCGGACACTTTTTAGCGCGGACCCGACGTCCATATAATTGTAAGTCAATGGTCGTAGTATAAAATTTAAAAAGAAATAACAAATTGGCCTGTTGGCAAATTGTTAAAAATTCAATACCATCAATACCTATTATTACAAGTTATGACGTTTTGATATTATATTGAAATGTCAGTCAATGTGCTGCCATCTAGCGGTTTTATTGCTAAACGACGACGAGTTGGAGTTATTAATTTAGTTCCCCAAAAAAGAAGCGGCCATATTGCAGAGGTACAAGCTTTACTTTCGTTTCTTGTAACAAAAAAATATTTCGATAAAAATGTGAAATACCGCCACGGGTAATATTTTTGGTGCTGCTGTCATTTTTGCACTCCAAAACAGTCGTAAAGGCATTTCTCTAGGATTTTAGAGAATTTGCACGAAAGAATGACACAACCATACCACACAAAACGAAAATGGCGGACCGAGCTAAGATAGGTCTTTCGATACCTATAGTTGGCATGCGTCATCGGATGCTAACTAACCACTTCTACTGTATTTATTGTTCTGTGATGTTAATCATTACCAATTAATTGGATATGCTGCACCATATCCAATTAATTAGTTTTAATGTAGTACTGTATGTTTACGGCTAGTTGAAGGCTTTGGTTCCTGGCTAGTTCCTGGGGCAGGGTTGTTAGACTTGCCAGCAGCTTTCGAATCTGTCGGTGCCGCGGAGCGGCCCGTGTCCGACGTCGCGCTTTTACGTGACATAATTGGGGCCTAGCCGCTGAAAACAAAGAATAAATTTTGTATTTATTAATGATCAAGTTACAAAGACCCATAAGTACAGACTAACGTACATAATAATATAACAAAATGTGTTTATTTACACCATCGAGTATATAACCAGAAATAGAGACGCAATAAGGGCCATCCATCCCTGGCAACTCATCAGGCAAATGGGCCTGCTTTGCGGCAGAAATGGGTAATGTGTCAGTATTTCCCTGGATGAATTCTTTCACAAGGAGCTCTACTGCTACTGCTTCATTCTTTCTGACCAAACCATCAAAGCATCTGCATCCTGTGCCTATACCATGAGATTACAGCATCGAGTATATAATCAGAAATAGAGACGAAATAAGGGCCATCCATCCCTGGCAACTCATCACGCAAATGAACCTTATATCACTTTTAAATATCAACTCTCGTTTGCGCTGAAATCACAAATTAGAGAACTGAAATAGTACAGCGCCCACAACTAACCTGTATGTACGTCTCCGTATATTCCGAAAATATTCTGTATTTATTGTAATAAAGATAATAATCTCTAACAATATGTGGCTGTTCCATTCGGTGGTGTGGCAAAAACAGCAGAACATCTAATTACAAAACAAACGGAATCATATTTCATCGGTAATTAAATATTAAATATGTAATTTTTCAATTTTCGTCCATTATAGCAAAGCTCAAGTTAAACTGGCCGAGTTGAAGTGAAAAAATTGACGACACCCGTCAATTGTTTCGAACTCAGGCTAACCAATCGGAGCGCAGTTGTCAGAATAGTGTTCATACAAATTAAATGACATTTCGTCTCTATTTCTGGTTATATACTCGAAGATTTACACGTATGAACTGCGACGTGTGACTCCACGTGGGTGTCCGGCAATCGTCCTAGGAAACGTCAGTATATGACACCCTTTGGCCAAAAGTTATCCTTCATGAAGGTCAACAAATGTTGATTTGGTACTATCACCACAAATGAGTTAAAATTCACATTGTGGCGGGACTCCAACTTCTCGACCCTCAGAATGTAAGAATAACAATGATATTATATACGGCAGACGTTGAAATCAAATACAAAGATTTGCAACAGGCACAAAGGTAAAAAAATTCGTGACTCGGCTGACTCGTTGCGTAGTTTAAGGCTCAACTCACACTAGCGCAAAGCCGAAGGTTCGCGTCGCGTCCTGTTTTTCAACTACAACGCCTGCTGACGCGCGTCGACACTCGCATTAGTGCGCCTGGATCATGTTAACTTAAAAATAGTAATATTAAAGAGGTATAAATACAAAACATTGTTGTAGATAGTGATAAACACGAATACACTCACACGTAACGCGCGCACACTCACACACACAAACACACACAAAACTGTATAATGTTATTAATTTATACGGAGTAAATCTGGCGATCTGCAAAATGCAGGATCAACCTAGTTAGGGCACCAGTCTCTGCAAATATTGTGCTCTATACCATATATCAATTAATGTGTGTGTACAGTGTAAACTTTGCAGAAAAAATAAAGATTATTATTATTATCACAGTGTGGTCGGCGTCTGGGGCCTCACTGCGCCCAAGTAACGCGCGGCCACGCGCGAAACCGCTTGACTTCAACCAAGTTTCCATATTTGCATAAAACAAATTTGTACCTTAATCGGTGGGAACATAGAGATTAATATGTTATAGACGAAAAACATGACGCGTCGCGACGCTTCGACTATGCGCCAGTGTGAGTTGAGCCTAAGGCGTTTAACAGAAGCGGGAAAAACTGTTTTGCTAAACCAGGTCTTACAAAAATTCGAAAAATCAGATTTCACAAGGAGCTCTACTGTGACTAAAAATTAGTAATAATACGTATTGTTACAGATCGTAAAATCGGATTGACACGCACGATGCTGGAAGACGTGCTCCCTACCATGAGAAGCCTCAGCCCCGATCCTGAGGACCTGAATTTAGTGAACAAAAAGTTCATACCGGTAAGTCACCCCTATTTTTTGACTATGTATTTTGAACCCTTACCAAATGGTGATAGAGAGAACTTATTACATTTGCCATTGCACGAATATTGTCGCAGAAGGCACTGGCGACATTTTTTCAGGGTCCAGAACTAACTTTAGTGATACAATGTCGTAACGGAAACAGATACGGAAACAGATGTTAAAAGTAAATCTAAACGGAAGCGGAAGTATAAATACTTTTTTTATAGCATCCAGTGACGGGACGAACAAGTCATGCGCCTGATGGTAGCTTACCAGCACGCATGCCTGTCCATAACAGTTACAGTGCCACTCGGAGCTTTAAGTTGCGAAGATCTGAGGGGCACTACCACTGCGCCCGTCATCTAGAGACATAAGTTGACAAGTCCCATGTGCCTGTAATTTCACCAGGGCCCTTACCTTTCTTAACCTATAAAGATCTCAAGGAAATAGTTCCTAACATGCCTTGTTTTGGTTTGGACACAACACAAAACTGCTAAGGCCGCCAAGCAATACGCGCACGCGTCTGATCCATCGCGAACGTTATAAACTTCCGATAAAAGTTCCGTTATGGAAGTTGCGGAAGCAGAAACGGAAACAGATGTGAGAAAGCTTCCTGGAGTTACGCAGTTGCGGAAGCAGAAGGAGAGGTCTGTCGCATCACTAATGGTTTAATATAACACGAAATTTGTGTAGTGACTGCCAAAATATGTCGCCAACGCCAACCTGACTGTGCTTATTGTAAGTCTCGATAAATCCAACCAACACTACGCCAACTTTATTTTTTGGCCATTTTCTGGTTTTGTAAACAACCATATTTATTTACTAATATTATGCTCCCCGAATTTTGTAAAAAAAAATAAAGAAACAAAAAACTAAATTGGAAAAAACAAAAGATCGACTTATGTGAAAAAAAATGTAAAAAATCAAATTCGAAAAAAAAACTGATTTTGTGAAAAAAACAAAATAAAAACAGAACAAGTGGTCAGAAAAATGGCGGGTTTAGTAGTTACAGTTTTTACATCGTAACTTTTTTGATTTACGTATTAATTACATTTCGAATTTCTTAATTTTATTTGATACCTGTTTAAGCTAATGGCTCTATAGCTATTGCTCAATAAATAATAATAAAAAAAAACAGAACAGGTGACAAAAATTAAGTTGACATAATGTTCATAGGAGGTATCATGTCTGATCTGTAGATACGATACGATAGCTACGAGAATTCCCGAGACTACTCGAAAACCCGGAAGACGCGCAACCTGTTCTTTGGCTTGTATCTAGTTTGCACGTTACACACTTGTTATAAGGTTAATTATGCTATGGTTACAAAAATTCACCGCCATTCCGTAAATTGAACCTTATGGCACCTTCAAATTAGACGCTTATAAATCGTTGAGTAGCGCTAATGAGGTGCTACACTCGCGTCACTACTAGAGGTAGGCTTTTAAACGAAAAGCACTTAATAAAGTTTACTTTTTTAAATAAGCACATAAGCACGCTTTTCAATTTAAGCGTAAGCATTGGTCAGTTCAATGCTCAACAATTTTATTTTTTACAACATGCCTAAGTTAGTCCCGCTATTTCATAAACAAATTAATTCGTCAATGTGAATAATAATTTTATAAATAAAAAAACACTCATGTTTTACGAATAAACTTACTTACAACCTATCAACAATACGTTGCAACCTTTTTTTAACATAAAAGTCTGTTCACTTAAACGTTTTTGTTAGCATCAAACTAAAAAGCGTAATAAGTGAAAAAAAAAACAACGTTTTAATTAATAATCAGTTTTTTCCATACTTAGCCACTACTTATTTCTATACAATTTTTAGAAGCGCATTTGAAATGCCACTGTCCTAACACTCGTAGGTTATAATCACTATAAAAATTGTCGAAGCACGACGGAAGGACAGCACTTAATAGATTTAATATATAATGAAAACTTCCGTATGAAAATAATACAGCTAAACAAATAACACAAATTATTGTTCAAATATTAATTATGTGTACATAAATAAGGACAAAGATACATTAATTATTTACACGTGTAGATAATAATAACACCGTAGGTGTACTGTTTTCCTACAGCGCACAAAACAAACAATATTCTATTGTATTAACATTTGAATGAAAACAAAATACTTTAGAACTTATTTTTCATCAAGGCACAAGGTAGTGCGCCAGGCAAGTCCAAAATCTAGCACTCACCGTCTGTTCGCACGAATCACTTAATTCCTTCTTGCCAATTGCGACAAATTAGCTTTAAAATTTAAAATCATGACTTACCGTATCTCAAACTTGTATCATAAAGCACAAAATAACTGACATGCAAAATATGCATTGTATATACAAATTTGCAGGCTGATTTCACATCACATTTCCATCATATTCACACACTGGCTTTTACCTATTCTTAAAGTAATGTATCCAAAGTAACACCCTTGATAAGAAATTTAAAATAAATAGAATTTTTTGCCATCTGCTGAATAATCACTCTTTATAATCTTATAAAGAGTACTTTCTTTTCTTTATTACTCTACTTTACTGTCTTTGAGAAAGTAACGCATCGTTATGGATTTGTTTTTCATAGTATCTAGTGACAGGACGAACAGATCATGCGCCTGGTGGTAAGGGACCCGTCTGTAACAATTAACCGTCAAATAAGTAATAGTCGACCAAATCAAAACACAATGTCAAGTATGAAGCTTCATTCGCATCATGCGTATTTTAATTAGGTCGAGTATAATTTATTTACGTTTCAGAACACGTAAAAGAGAACAACACCGTATCTTGTCGATAACAAATAGCTTAACATGGCCAATCCTAGAGTATTAAAATTAGCCTGCTTTGTACAATCCTTACATAAGTTTAAGGTTCCGATTTAACTCTTTGAAAAACTGGTACCGAAAAGCAGTCTTCCTTTTTTGCGAGATCGGGGTCATATTTATAAGCTACCTGTCTATACTTTAGTCGGGACTTCGGGTTGTTTTAAATACGCCGCTTCCAAGGTGTGGAATGATCTTCCCCCGCCTGTGCGAGACTGTCATATTTTGTCATTACGTACTTTCCGTAAGAAGTGTTTTAATTGGTTATTTACCAGGCAAACCTTGGAGGTAGGCATTGTAGTCTAGTTGTGTGTGGATAGTGCTCTGTGTGTAATAGTAATGAAAAAATCTATATAACGATACATGTATGTGGTAAATATCTAATAATCGGCTTGAAACCTTAGAACTAGAATGATAGGGTGTGTTCTTCTTTTTATGAACATGGTAGGCTGTAGCAGAATATTATTTCACATTGTTAATACTTTTATTAACACTATACATATATTTAGTTTAGATAAGATGCCGCTAGATGGCGCTGAACCTTTTATTCAATTTTCTAAAACGGCTACTGAGTTGTTCACGGAAATTGTATAACTGTGGAGTGATTTACAAATAAAAACGTGCCTTTGGAACATACAGGTTGTTTCATGTTTAGGACGCTATACATGATCCGGTTCGAAGGACCAGCATGTTAAACAATTTCCGTGAACAACTCAGTAGCGCGTTTCAGGAAATTACATAAAAGGTTCAACGCCATCCAGCGGCAACTTACCTAAACTGTATGAATGTATAATGTAATATAAATATTATCACACAGTAATTGTTTCAGACTGAGAATGGGAGTAGATCCCCAGTTGCAGTTGTCACTCAGTGTTTTAAAGCACAAACATCTGAGGGGTACTACCATTGCGCCCATCACCCTGAGACTTAAGTTCACAAGTCCCATATGCGTGTACCTGTATTTCATCACCACCTTTACCCTTCAAAACCGAAACGCAGTAACGTTCACATTATTGTTTGGCGGCAGAAATAAGTAAGATGGCAGTACTTCCCTGGCCGAACTCTTTTTTATAAATTTGCCTCTGTATTTTTATTACGAATGTGCTGTTTATACTGTGGACTAAATTTCAAGTACAGTGTCAAGGTCACGTCAAGTTTAAAGACTTAAATTCAACTCTATGCCGCTTTCGATCAAACAGGGCCAACATCCAAAGTGTGTCAAAATTCTTGTCGGTCGTTACATAGTTTTACTACCAAACCACAATAGAATATTATTTTTTTATTGTATATTCAAATTAGATGCTAAAAGCTCTGCAGTGGCGCCACTACAATATTTAGAAGCGCAGCTGTAGCGCCACAGTCGCGCTACGTGCGCACTCCTTTTGCAGACTAAAATATTGTATTAAAATTTCTAGTGCCGCACCACAGCACAGCTTCTACAAGCGTCTGATATGAAGACACCCTAATTTACTCTTTTAAAAATTATATGGATGTTTTTTATCCCAATCGCTTCACGCACAACTCTTGAAAGTACCGATCGGTAGAGATAACCTGCGTATGATATAATTCGATCCAGTGATTTTATGCCTCTTTCCAGTAAATATTCTTCAATCGCTGACATACTACAGTTGCGGTATGTTCGTCCCGTGACATGACATAATTTGAAAGCTAAGTTAGTTTTAAATTTTAATTATAATTTGTCAAATGCACTGTGTGCGGGAAAAGAGAAATTAAATTCGTGTAAACTGACACACGGTGGGTGGCGTGTTTGTAACTTGGCTTGCGCACTACCTTGTGTCTCGATGAAAACTAAGTTGAAGGAATATTTTATCATCTAAACTTCGTCAATGTTTTAATTTCTAAATAACTACTAATCAAGATAGGACCAAAAATTGATCCGTATTGAATACGTGTGTAAATACGTGTTAAAGTTAAAGAAGTGCCTTTAATATTCGCCAAAGATATATTTTTTTAAAGCACTTTATCTCTATAATGTACGAAGTTATAAGATAACCACGATAACCTTGTTTTATCTCACTTATTTTGATTGTACAAACGTTTTTTCGTTCTGATTGCATCGTTACGTGAAATAGCACAATTTTCCATCACTGATGTGACGGCCTTGAGATATACTTCTAACATTGAAATAAGCGTAATTTTCTTGATTGAATATCGTACATACCATCATTAATTATTTTTGTCCATCGTTTAGCGTCATCTAGCGTTGAGGACATATAATATAAAAAAGTGATCACGTCAAATTTAAACAGTTCCGCTACCGAACAATAGGTGGCGCTGATTTAAATCTTGAAATCAACCTGACATTCGCAAACTTGAATTTATTGTCTCTTTTTTACACGTAGTGTTGACTCTTTTTTATTGTCAGCATGACGTGTTCGTTTCATCACTTCGATCGGAAGTCAGTCACAAAACGTTTTCTCTATCGTGTTCTTGTGTTATGTTATTAAAAACTTGGAATATAATCGTAAAATACTATTAAAATAGATTTAATAAGTTCTAGAACTATATACAGTGATCACAAGCGTGCTACCGACTGTATTTGCAGTGCATTTCAGTGCGTAAAACTGTGTAGAAAATAGTGTTCAAAAACAGGGAAATAGTAGTTTTTCTAAGTGCTTTTACCTCTATTTGTTGGATATCTTCCGTTATTGAGGGTAACGGAGCGAAACTCAGCCTTTGATATTGCAGTGATCTCTGATAACCACCGAAAACACATTTTTAACATAACCTGAATTTTTACGTCAACAACCTACAAATAGTTTTTTAAATTTTTACTTTTTTTTTTCAAAAAAATATATTGTTAACATTATGCCTTTGCAGAAAAAAGTTGCAATTAGATATTTTTCTTAGACCGTTTTTGTTTTTACAAAGAGTTAGCGGGTGTTTTATCGTTTTCAATTTCATAACAGAAATCAGAATTGAATCTTGTTAAGTCATAGACCATGCATATTAAATAGTATAGTCATAATTAATTAACATTATTTATAATCGATTTACGAAAATTAGTTGTGGTTGAATGGCGAAATTTCAAAATGTAGGTGTATTTACATTCTTCACTCTTTTTTTTTCTGTAACTTTTATCAATATTAATTTCTAAGTCACAGCGAAAATAATGTATATATACTTGTAAACAAATTGCCTATTAACCATTTACAAGTAAACTGAGTTGGCAATTAACTTTTGAATAGAAAATTAATTGAAACTTTTACGCTTTTTATGTTTAACATTATAATTAGTCAAAATTTAAGTATTTATGAACACATATGTAGTGACGTTTTAGAACATAGGTTACTAAACTTTTTAGCTTTCTGCTCACTTAGGCAAGATAAAAAAATTCCAATGCTCACCACCACAAAAATAATAGGAAACATTTTTTTTTATATTAACTTAACATAAAAAATCACTAGGAAAAAAAAAATGTACTTATGTACTGTTTTCAAATGTGATACCACTGGACACCATCAACACCCGCCAATTCATGAACTGGGGGATGGTAGGGACCACTTTGGGAAACTATTTTTTTCATACCTCACTTCATTCATGCATCCAATATCAAGATGTACAAACATGTCATTTATTTAAACTTTTTAGGAACCCTATGTGAATGATGGACTTTAGGTGTGGTCCATACCATAAATTCTGATAAACTCAGATGTGCAAGCCCAGTTTCGAATCCCACGACACCGGTTTGAGAGGCAGTAGGTTAAACCATATTAGGCTACCATGGCTTCACTGTAACTATAATTGTATTATTCAAAGTCCATGGCACTCCTCATCACTGCAATCAGGTATTAATCTATTTGTAATTCCATCTAATGACAACTTGGCCATAGGTTCCCAAACGTTTTAACTCGCAGCTCACTTAGGCAAGATATAAAAAATTCAACGCCCACCACTTCAAAACTAATTGAAAATATGTATTTTTTATAATAACTTTAACACAAAAAAATCAGAAGGAAAATAAATTATACATATTATTAGTGTAGTTTGTATAGATAATTTAGGCATAACAATGCTCACTAGAGCATTAACAGGGCATTGTGGCTTGAACAAGCACATGTCAAATATTGGGCAGAGAGAGAATAGAGAATGTAGATCTTGCCACAAGGCAGATGAAACTACTGTTCATCTACTCACCCAATGCTACCCCCTGATGGCCGTACGAAGTTTCATACTGGGAAGGCACATGCCACAACCAGAGGACATTAAATTTGCTGGAACCAGGAAAGTCCTTCAGTTCTTCAATGCTCTCGGCCTTGGCTCTGCATTGTAATTAGTGGTGATCACAACAGATCAGTCAATGGTCGCAATGATAAGGGGATGCATAGACCCTGAATGAAGCCAGCCTAATAATAATAATAATAATAATAGATAATTCAGGTTTTTTTTTCAAATGCGGTAACACTCCCCAATTGCTACCCCAATGTTTGCCCACGAGTGACTATCATATGTTAAAGTATTGGCTTCTCACCAGTACATACTTCAAAACAGCATCTACAGTGGAATTTTTTATTAAAGATAACATTATATTGAAGAAAAATTAAAATCTAAGATC